GTCCATTATATTACTAAATTTAAAGTCTATTGGCTTGGTCGATATTATTGTTTAAAGAGATCTGCATATTATCCTGTCAATAAAGAAGTTCTTTGGTTACTCTCCTACACAAATAAATATCAAATATATTGTTGCTGAAATTATTCAACTCAGACAATTCAAACTTTCACAACACCATTTAAATTTACTGCACCCCCTATTCCATCTTCTATTTTCATTATCAAATGCTACTGATTATAATAGCTGCCATAGTTCTACTGTTCAATAAACCTTTCCCTTGCGATTCAGCACATCAAAACGAAACTTTCCCGACAGTTTTTTGGTGCCACGAGTCGGGATGATGACAGACTTAACGAAAAGCGCGCAACCCGCAATAACAAAGCTAATTAAGTTCTTGGATGAAATACGAAACCTGAATTTGTCACCATCGAATCAACTATAGCATTGGAAGAATTACGTCAATATGAAATCAAAGGAAGAATAACCAAAGAAAAATTACGACATTTCGAAATACACACTGGTTATTTGAAATCAGTCAACACAAAATGGTTGGATTATATCAGTACGATACTCAATTCACAAAAAAGGAAGAACGAAGAAGACAAATACGCCCAAATGGTCGACGACGAAAAAGGTATTCTACATTTAATAACTGAAGGTAAAGAAGCTATTATTATATTAGAAATGTATAAAAAAAGATTTTGAATCAATAATTGAACAAACGAAACCACAACCCAAAGAATCGACTCAACAAAATGTAACTAAAACCGCTTCTTTATCGACCATAAATTTACCGCACTTGCCGCTGCCAATATTCAGCGGAGACCCGAAAAAATGGAGAGAATTTTGGAGTAGTTTTGAAGCAGCTGTACATTCTCAAACAATCCCCGACATACAAAAATTAAATTATCTGTTCTCCTGCTTGAGGGGAGAGACGTTAAAGGCCGTAAGAGGCTATGATATTGCACCAGAAAATTACCAAGTTATAAAGAAAGTCTTGGTTGAAAAATTTGGAGAAACTTTTACTATTAAGAAGTCTCTTTACAACGAACTACATGAGATCAAAAGATACGATCGTGAATGGAAATCAATAGTCAAAGCAATCGAAAGAATTCTTCGTAAACTAGAAGCTATCGGCGAAAATCTCGAACACTCGAGTACTGAGACCGTCATTGAAAGCAAACTACCAGGATGGATACTGGATAAAATATATCAACAAAAGGATGATGACAACACCTGGTCAGTTACAAAACTTAGTTCCTTGGAAAATTAGTAAAAAGAAATAACCAAATAACTAGAAGTCAAGCCTCAAGCACCAACGGCGAACAACAATTCGCCAAGTTCAAACCCAAACGTTTGGAACGAAACGTCCAAGAAGAAACTACTGCATTACCAGCAATCAGTCAGTCTGGACCAGATGAATTTAAGAATATTTCAAAATCGAAAGAGTTAGGTAGAAACAATAAACGAAGACCCTACTCGTTTTGTAACGAAGATCATTGGGATAGTGAGTGTGAAACTTATTCTACCTTCACACAAAGATTAAAATGCCTCATTAAAATTAAGGCTTGTAAGAAATGTTTCAAAGCGGGACATACAGAGGTCGATTTCAAAAAATCGATGGAATGTTTTTATTGTAAAGGGTTACACAACAGTGCCCTCTGCCATAATGGCAACAATTCAAGCAAACCATTCAAGCAAACCGGACATATACCAATGAAAGAAAGAGACATCAAATCGGATAGTGGAACGGTTAGTATAAACACGATCACCGAAAGAGAAAGAGAAATTTTATTTCTATGCAAAGTGGCTACTGTATTCAATGCGGAAAGAACTGAATATCACGAAGAAGTTCTAGTATTGTTTGATATTGGTTCACAATTAAGCTTCGTCTCTGTTGAATTAGCAAATCGTTTAAAACTGAAAGAAATAGAGTTAAAGGAATTAAAGGTATCTACCTTCGGAGACAGATATCACAAGGTATCTCCTCTCCTCTCACAATGAAGACAATAATTGGAATAAGAAGTGAGAATAAAGGGTCAATATTCTGTGACGTAAATGTAGTCGACTATTTAACGGGTGAACATCAAGTCGTGAATATACCATCCATCACGGAAAAGAATCGCCAATTAGAAGGACTAACTTTCTATCAGAGAAAGCCAGATATTCTGATCGGAGCCGGCTACTTCTTCAAATTTATACAACTAGAGAAGATTCAACGATTGAATTCAGGATTTTCCTCACTTAACACAAATTTGGGTCCCATGATTTGCGGAAATGGATATCTCGAAGAAATTAATCAAATTACGCATAATCCAGTTAAATCTAAGTATATTTCTAGTGTACGTCGTGTTCCAAATATAGATCTGGAAATTAGAATGCATTGAAATACAAGAACAACCTTACGATCATGATGACGAACAAGCGCTGGAACAATTCAAAAGGAATATCGTTAAAATTAATGGAAGATATCAAGTACGTTGGCTATGGAATCTTTCGCTAAATTAAGCAAAAATTACGGAATATGTTATGGCCGACTAAGAAACTTGATTAGAAGACTTCAGTTCCGTCAATAAGAACTGGAACAATATCACGAAATAATCCAAGAACAATTGCGTTCGGATATAATTGAAAAGACAGAACCTCATATGGACCAGGTAGGCATTATATATTATTGAAAGTTGTTTATGACGCATCAATACACGTGAAGGGATCGAAGAGTTTAAATGAGGTATTATATCGTGGACCGATAACACTTCCAGATACTGTGGGAATATTGCTACGTTTTCGAATGATGACAGGTAATCACAGCCGATATAGAAAAAGCATTTTTGCAAATCGAATTACATCCGGAGGACAGAAATTGTACCAGATTTCTCTGGTTGAAGGATATAAACAAGGACTGAAAGAATGAAGACTGAAGAAAATCTACAATGTTATCATTTCAAAAGAGTTCCATTTGGAGTCATATCATCTCCCTTTTTTCTATCCGCTACCATCAATCGTCACTTGGAATTTAATGGTGGCCAAACGGCGTTAGAAGTAAGAAAAAATCTTTATGTAGATAACGTTCTGATATCTGCGAAGGGAACTGAGGAAGCCTTACAAAAATATTGTGAATTAAAAATCATATTCGAGGAAGCCTCAATGAACATAAGGGAATTTCTTTCAAATGATGTTGGATTCAATGAAATGATACCCGAGCAGGATCGAGCAAACCTCTATGCCAAAAAGATTTTAAGTATTATGTGGTTCTCCAAATTAGATATTATACACGTCACACTGAAACCATGGACGAGCAATGAATTAACTAAAAGAACTATTCTTCAATTGTTGCTTCACAGTACGATCCTTCGGGATTTCTAGTTCCCGTAATGATAAGGTTTAAATTATTCAAGATTTATGGCAGAAAAACTATTCCTGCAATCAAATTATAAGTAATGAAGATCAACGGACATGGAAATCTCTCAATAAGGACAAGACGACATATATAGGACAATTATCTTGATTTATCACCAACCTTACAAGTTAAATGGAGATTCATATATTTACTGATGCTTCACGTTTGGCGTACACAACAGCAATATACACATTTAGAGAAGGAATGAACGGTAAGGATCCAATTTTAATTTACGCGAAATCCCGTACTGCACCTATTAAAGGAATGACCATACCACGATTAGAACTGCTGGCGATCCTCATTGGAGTACGAGCAGCACAAATTGTACTTGAGTTAGAAGACGCAAGAGTCGGATTCGAAATGCGCGTCGCATTGGATAAAAAACTCTTCTAAATTACACCCAAAATTCATCCAGAATGGAGTCGAAGAAATTCGGAAAGCAAAATTTAATTTTCGTTACATTATGACAATTAAAACCCAGTGGACCTTGCTACAAGAGAACTTTCTCCTACCGACCTCATGAAATTTAATTCGTGGTGTACGACCATCCTGGCTAAAAGGAGAGGAAGACGAATGGCGACAACGTGAATTCCAAACAGAAGAGCAGCACAGTGACGAAGAAACGGAAAGTAACCAATGGATTAACGCTAATTTGATTACTCAAATGGCCAAAAAACAATCATTCTCGTTCATAGATGCAAGTCGATTCGGTAAATGGGGTAACTGTTTTTAAGCTTAGATTCATCAAACGTATAACAGATGAAAGACTCGAATGGTTAAACCAGATTTCGGAAGGCTTATCACACTCAACAATGAAGGAAGTTGTCATAGCTCGATGAATGCTAATTAGACAAGCACAATTCGAAGGTATCCACGACGATAAAATAGCTAAATGGAATCTTTATTATGATGAACGTGAAAAGGTATGGAAATCGAAGAGTCGATTGGAAAACTCAGAATTAAGTGAAAACAGTAAATACGCCATTTTTTCACCCAGGCACAATATAATAATCGGACTCTTTATGATGTACCATCACGGAAATTTGCATCATACTGGAGTCGGTCACATGCTATCAACAATGAGAAGTACTTACTGGATCCCAAAGGGCCGAACAGAAGTCAAACAAGTTTTACAACACTGTATGGCCTACAAACGTTGGACTTCCAAACCATTTAAATTACCTGCTATGGCAAACCTACCAGAATCACGAGTTAATCATTCAAGAATATTTGAATATATTGGATTGGATTATTTGGGTCCTGTTACTATAAAACTAGAAATTGGCACAGGAAAACAATGGATTGCCTTGTTCACATGTTTTACGACTAGAATCGTATACTTAGAAATAGTTGAGAATCTCCCTGCTGCAGCTTTCCTACTTATACTACGAAGATTTATTGGTTGACGAGGATGTCCCAAATTGATTTTAAGCGACAGCGCTACTCAGTTTCAACTAGTTTTTAAAACCATTATGGAACGAAATGCCAACTTCTTAGCAGCAAGGGAAATGAACTGGAAATCAACCCCTAGAACTCCATAGGAAGAAGGAGCTTATGAAAGAATAGGTGGATTAACAACCATTGTCCATCGATTTTATTTCACCTAATGTCCTACGTCCCATCGATTTTATTGCACCTAATGCTTCGTTGATCTTACCGATTAAAGATGATAGCATACCGGATGAATTTTTCCCACATAAATTAAGTATCAAAGACAAACTTATTAAATATTGGTTAAATACTCTTAACATCCTAGATGTATTCTGGGAGATGTGGAGACCGGAGTACTTAACTAGTCTTCGAGAACGTACTCAACAAGAAATGACATCCCCTAAGAGAGTAGAAATTGGATCTCCACGCGAAAACGAAATAGTTATACTCAATGAACCTGGAACACCACGAAATATGTGGAAACTGTGCAGAATAAAGGAACTTCATAAAAGGAAGGATGAAAAGGTACGGACCGTTACAATGAAACTGCCTAATGGCAACATATTGAAACGTTCAATAAGTGTGCTCTGTCCGCTCGAAGTTAATGATAAAATTGATCCAGAAATTGAATCAACTACACAAGATTTTAATGTGTAGTAACAAGGAAGGAAATCGAAACACAAGAACCAATTGCAACGCGTACTCGAACATCCGCCAAAAGGATGTCTAAAGTGAGCACATATTAAACAAAATTTTTAGCAATTCCAATGATGGCTTTACCAATTGAATTTACAGAAGCAACCACTACTAACCAAACTCCCTTTCAATATGAACCCCATATTCCACCTCCCGATGCCTCCTCCCTCCTTCGATCGAGAATGTCGGAAAACCCGAAGGAAGTTGTAATGTGTTCAAGCAGCTAAAGAATGTTGTATTAAGCATTTACGGGATAACAGACTCATCATATTACGTTTTCCCACATTCAAAATGATGAGTCAGTTACCCAAGCTTCAAATTTTCCAACAATGCCCCTTGTCTGATGTTGAGTATGTTTACATTTAGTAGCTAAATTATGCAATGCGCTTTGTCTTTTGTTTAAATCTTTGCATCTGCATGTTGTCGCAAGCTCAACCCACTTATGGGCAATATAAAAGCTCCGATAACGGACTCTCGAGGTCCACATGAAAAATTTCTTTGTCGTTATATCAGCGCCACATCCATCTTTACTCGATTGTTTACCGTTCCTATTCAAATTCACTGTACTACTAACCATTGTATCCTCCATTTTTTATTACTAATACTGTTGTATTATATTGGTTGTTATAATCCTACTATTCAATAAACCTTCCTAATTCTACTATTCAACAAACCTACCCCTTGCAACTCATCGCATCAACAAAAAACAAAACTTCCCCAACAACCAATATCATTCACAAAGCTCAAGCAATAAGGCGGTTGGGAAAACTCGAAGAAATCAAAACAATTTAATGCTTCCAGAACAAAAACTGCCAGTGGAGTAAAAACGACAACAATGCGAGGACAATAATATTATTAAAGAAAAAATAATGTCTCGAATTATGTGTCAATACTCTCGAATCGGCCGACTAGAAATGGATGGAATACATGCAGAAGCAGATTACCTTGCAAAAAAGGAAAAATACGCCGAAATCATGAGAGGAGAAAAAGGTATTTCCAGTTCACTTTATGAAGACAAAGAAGCCATCATCACTTTAACAATGTATACAAGTGAGAGCGACTTACACGTGGCACGCATATTCCAAGATCCAACACAAAAGCAAGAGCCAAGAAAACCAGCTCCTCATACCAGCGTCAACTTACCTCAGATCTTACTTTTAATGGTGACCTAAGACAATGGAGGGAATTCTGAAGTAGCTTTGATGCCATAATACATAACCAGGCGATATCCGATATTTAGAAATTGAATTATGTGTTTTCTTGCCTAAAAGGAAATGCACTGCAAGCAGTGAGAGGCTATGATATTGCTCCAGAAAATTACGAAGCAATAAGAAATGTTCTACAAGAGAAATCCAACGAAACGGTTATTGCTACTAAATGGTCCTACAGAGTGAAGCAATCTATTAAAAGAAACAATAAGTAGCTTTGCCAGTTTTTCCTTAGCTACTTAAGTACCTTTAATTATGATTGTTGCCATCGTTCCAGACGGATAACAGGGATAAGTAAAAGGAGGGAAAATTTAAGTGTTACAAATTCATATGAATCATCGTCAAATTGGGGAAAGCTGTTTCGGGTTTCCTGATAGTGATAACGCTAGCCAACGCATCACTACCATCACTGCAATCACTATCATTACCAACACTACCACTATCATAACTGCTATTACTCATGGTACATAACCAATACTCCAATGTTATAGTCATCACTCTATAACGCTAGGAAACAAGGATATTAAAAAAATAACTACCATTTGAAGAGATGTGAAATTGTGCGTGTAGGGAGGAGATTTATGTGGAGCTTCACGTGGCCCTGCAATGATAGTTAAGCTTCTACAAATATAGCGATTAAATACAGCGATGTCTCTACTATTTATTTATAGTCGTGGTCATATTATCTATTGCCATAAGGATTCGAAAAGCTTGGTTAACAAGAAAAAAAAAAAAAACGAAATGATGAGTTACACGTGCCCAATCTCTTTTCCGTACTGCTTATTCCAGTAGCCTGTTCTTCTTATTAACTAAAGGAAGTTTACAACTGGGATAACGACGAACTGTCAGCAAGCTTATTCAATGACAAAACTTTTAAATAGAAGCAGAAAAAGCACCCAGATATTCTTCATCCACCGGCTTCACCAGAACTAAATGTGGAGCAGTGAACTGTTGATTACTAAACAATGGATTAGCTTGTGCAGCAACTGTTTGCTCACCAGGTACACCAATACGGAATCTTAATGCTGCTATCAATGTTTCAGCAACTACTGCAAAAAATATAACATATACTGAGAATTCTTTAGATACTATTGAATTCTTTAAATGTTAGTCAACGAATCTGTATCATATTTTGTGTCCTGAGGATGTAGCTCTTAATTCCTCACTCCTTTTTCATTATTCTGCTCTTATCCTCTTTATTGGACGAATAACTCGTTTATTTTCGTTGTTACACTATACAATTGTACAATAAAATTAACCTTTTTGTCGATAAGATAATTTTCCAGCAAAAATCGTCCTTGACGCCTCATCTCCAAAATATCAGAGGGTGCAAAAGAACGTAAGATAAAATGCAATTCAGGTAATCGTTGCAATGGTAAAGTATATACAGCTCGTCGCCAATCCAGTAAATCCATGAAAGGCAAAGGTGGCAGTAACGTGGTTATTACCGGTATAGCTCCATACTGGAGGGCAGCGAGTAACTGATCGTGGAAGATGGCTGTGGGGCTCTGTCCGGTTTGGAAAAGTATAAGAGCGAACATAGATTCAGGGTAAACATTATCTGAACAACTAAATCGAATTATTAATCAACTTCGTGTAATGGAACCAAAGTTAGAATGAAATTAATGGAAACAAAGTTAGAGTGAAATCAACCAAAGTTAGAGCGTATCAGTTCACAAAGTATTTATATTTATATAAACTAATTTTTACATTAAATCCGCCAATATCACTTTATACATGCATTATACTAATTTCAGAAATCTATAAGCACATCACACATGGTCTACATATTTTGAAGTTGTAACAACAGACTGGAAAATCACCCATTCCACATAAAATTTCAAAAGTTAATGTCAACTTAAATCAGTCACGACAATTAATTATCCAGAACTATCGACCATTTAGTGCGCTTTCCGTCTCATCGGGTTATTTTTAATCATTCTCTAAACATGACAAAAGAATTGAAGGACATACTTCTTGAAGTGCAGTTTTCTTTGCAACTGATATCCAGAAATATCTGATCGCCAACAGATTCAGCTGAACTTGCCAATAATTCCAGTTGTTCTTTCACGGTTGATGAAACGTCCGATATTGCACCAACACATGACAACAGATACTAAAGATTGAATAAATCAATATTTCTTATGTGGGTCGGTTCTTAAAATTACTAAGGCAGAAATCAATAATAATGTATTATACAAGAAGGAATTATTTTAAAAGGATATCACTAGAAGATTAAAATCGGTTAGAAAAGATAAACAGCATGTTACGCTAACAAGCAATGAATGTGGCAAGCGATATTTAAAAAATACCACTCCTCTGTAAAAGAAAGCTAGTTCAAAAGAGCAATGCTATGATTGTCAAATATGATTGCACGTCGACAATATGACAGCGTAGCATTGTATTGCAATTTCGAGTGATCCAGGAAACAAATGGAGTTACTAAACTTACTTTTCTTGTCAAAGGCAACAGAGAAGATAACTGCTTCCAGTGATCTTTGTTATAGTTAGGAACTCTTACATTCACAGATATATCGAAACTGTCTTTAAACTTCCTGAAACACTTGGAAGAATAAAACTTTTTTGAAATTCGATTTTTTGCTTAAGACACAGATTACTAAGTTCTTACCTTTTTTATTAATTGTCTCTGCCTACTGAATTGAGGAAGGATATCAATTACGGTATGTCCAAACAACTCCCAACTTCACATAATTCCCTTTTCAATATTGCTTTTCCAGAGGAGAAAATACACTTCTTTTGTTATAGAATGAAAAAATGACTCGAGAAATTATCAAACCTTACTTGCGATCGTACACTGCAGAAACAATAACTGAATTCGGATAATATGAGAGCGGATTGATACCAACATTTAGAAGGACATGATTTTGACCGTTATTCCAGTACTTCAAATATTTTACATCGTTTGTGTTATCCACGAATGCAAGTAAAATACATGCATCATTTGGTCGATTAATTACCATACGAAATTGGCTGGAAAGAAAAAATTAAAAATCCGTCCAGCTGCAAGTATTACCAGTACTGCCCGATCATTTAATGCAGCGTCTCGTCCTTGATAGCAGTTATCACACCACGAAATACCAAAAAAGATTCAACGATTTAATTCTAGAGCTTAGTCGCTGTTTCCTTAATTTTTGAAACATATGTTAGTTAACTTGCCGTTTTCAATCTTAGCTGCGATTTTTTTTGTCAACCTATTAATTCACTCCATAGAAAAAAAAAAACGAGTTCTCATAACAAAATAATCCCACCTGAATAAATTGTAATAACTCATAGCGTGTTCTGACGCATTCTCGCCAGGTTGGTAAACATAAATACCGAAATTTCCAGCTATTGAACACTTGCTTAAAATAACTTTTTCAGACTTCGAAAACAAAAAAAAAAAACGTGAAGGGAAGTGATATTCTAGAGAGGATGAAAAGAACCATAGATCCGAAGCCTTAGTAGCATTATTGAAGTTTCGAGAAGGTCAACAATCCCGAAAACTTCGAAAAACTTTGTGGTGGTTGAAATATAGCGATTCCAATGCATCAATTTTGTTTTTCATTCTAGGAACTCCGAGATATTTAAAATAATGATACATGGGTGCGGTAGAAATGGTAAAACACGTTTTTTCTTTTCTTTTTAGGGAAGCGAAAGTCTAAGATACGAGAAGTGAGAAATCCGTAAAATCGACGAAATCCAGAAGTAGATGCATAAGATGAAAAGAAAACAGAATGAGAAAAATTAATCAAAAAAATTTAAACAAAGAGCAGAAGACTGAAAAATGAAGACTGGATAACCTGAAGTCGAAGACTGCCTCGAATGAAGCTACGCTCGGACTCGTGATTGTTACTTTTTCCTTGTATCCATCACTGAATGTAACAGCAGGAGCTGCAGGAAGATATAGTGGTACACGGTTTTTAGCCATCAATTCTCGACGGTATAATTCCATATCTTCAATGTCTAGCAGTAGGATTTTTAATTCATTTCCTGCAAATAAACACATAACATGACAGCAAAACGGAATCCGGAAGTAAGATCCGAAACATCTTTATGGGCACGGACACATTCTACCTAGGTAAACCATCAGAATCATAAGGCTTCATTCCACCAGCAAATTCCGGGATATAGTCGAAAAGTGCAAGTTAAAGCTGTCAAAAATATCAAAGAAAAAATTTGGATGCTTTATATGTTTTTTCGGAATCTCCATCAAAAACAAAAAATTAAACATTACATACTTGCATCAGTCATTTGTTTCGTAATTATCTCATGTTCCAAATTAACATTTTTCAGTTGACCAGCAGCCTCAAGCAAATCTCGTCTCACCGATGCCAGAATTCGTTTGCTTTCCTGCAAATTTGAATCCATCCGTTGATTATCCCATGGATATTTCTCCGAGCTTTTTCCTCTCCTAGAAAAGGCGAAATTAAATCCAGAAAAAACTAATTACGAATAACTAGTCTCAGTGACTCAGATGGCACTGACAATTAAGGCAACGACTGTTAGGACAGCTGACATATTCCCGAAAGCAACAGCTATGCAACGTGAAATATAACATGTTCCCGCTAGCAATATTAATCTGTTCACGGAAGACCGATGTACAACCATATGTAGTATGGTAACATGCGTCACTCCGGAATAGAGAACTTTGTTACTGTTCACGAGAAGAACAATGTTGCCAGTAATTTAATATTATGGGAATTAGTCCGTTTAATGAATTCAGTACAATTGAATCAATCAGTTCAAAAAATTATATTTTTACCAATAATTCAATTGACGGGTTTGAACTAATAAACTTATAGAAAACAGGATTTATCTACTACATTCAAATTAACAAAGTCTCAAGAAACTTTAATTCAACTTAATTTAATTTAATTTCACCCTACGAAAATGATATTATAACAAACCGAAATGTGATTGGTCCATGAAGAAGTGGTGGCGGGAGCAGTTCGTTGAACAGAAAACTGGGTAAAACAAAGGCGATTGATATAAGACACAAAAAGATAAGAAAACATGCGGGTAGTACGGTCGAGAGAGTTCTGAATAATCGGAAAACAGATGTACCGCCCAAACACCCTGTCGACGGGGGTGATAATTCCGGCTGATGCCTAATTCGGCTAAGCCGATGTCTTTCTAACACCCTCATCCGGATGACATTTCCGAATAATAAAAATCTGAGTGCGTGCTATACCCACCCTGTATGCAACGCTGATGTCTCTTTTCCTCTTCTGCCCCCCTCTATTCCTTCTTCTCATCCATATTTGTATCCTTCAATTTTATGTAAATTTTTTCCTGCATTTCTGACAAAAGGCTATTCCAGGATGACCTCTTAATTAGTGCTACTAATTACTGCTAAACTTCTCTTTGGTTAAATTTTTCCAACTTCATCCCTTTTTTGCATTGAGCTACAATCAGATGCATGTAAAATGAGAGAGACGGACTTTCCAGCAATCTAGCATTCTTACCGGAAGAGAAAAGGATTGAAGAAAAAAGAATCTTTTCTTCAAAAGATTGAAGAAAAAAGAAAAAAGATAACGGTTTTCTCGAATCCGTTCAAACTTTTCTGAGATTGAACGAGTCTTAAATTGCTGGTATTGATTGTAATTAGGCCGTCACTAAGATATGGCTGAAGAAGAAAAAAGGAATGTGTAAGTAGCACGTTGCTACTTTTGAGAAAATTCATCATCAGTTCCGGTTAGCCGTTCCTGTTTCGTGAACTCTTTAATAAGCTATGCTTTAGGTATCTATTTAAATTGTAAACATCGCACTCTTTATGTAAATTTCAATCGGAATTGTAATGGGAAACTTAAACCGTTGTATTAATTATCCATCCATGCAATACGCATTATAAAAAAAGGGCTGGCCAAAATGTCCTTCCAGATTTCAGATTTTGAAGTACCGTATAATGGGTTTTGTAAAAAGATTTTCAAACTGTTAACCTCAAAGTGATTAATGTGACACGATGGTGACACATCGAATAGAGGTATTCATTACAAATTTATGCAGATGATAGATCAAATTTCAGCTGAATGTTTGAGTAGAGGTGGAAAATTGACCTATTTGGTTAATTAGTACATACAGATGGAAAAATATTTTCTGAATAAGCAAACTTATTAGCAAAAAGAAATTATTCTTTACAGTGTGGGAAGTTTGTTTTGACTAAGTTAAGGATTTGACATTAATGACAACAACAGGACTCTTTAATCCTTTTTTTTAGAATGACTTCGTGAGTGAACGCAATTAAATTTTGAAAAGTAATTGAACAAATAATTGACCATTCAGAGAAGTGATGCCACTCATCTTTTCGATTATTTCAATTCATTTAATTACAAAATTCATCAAGTATTTTCTGTCCACCGCCTATCATTTTAAATATCGCGTTAAATCGTATCTTTCTAAAGCTTGCACGCTATCTGTCAACAGCATGAAGTATTTGTCCTCAAGCTAATTAGTCTACAATACTAAAAATAAATTCTACACTTCGATTTTTAAAACTGTTTAACAATTTAGTGTCATATTTCTTGTCCGATCTTTCCCGGGGAATAACGATGCAATATTCCGTAGACACTTTTAATGCTGACCAGATGAATAATACTTTCTCATATGTAAATTATTTCTCAAGTAAATTATATATACCTTTACACCTCCTTGCTTATGCATGTATGCATGTGCGTGCATGTGTGTGCATGTGTATGTGTGTGTGTGTATGTGTGTGTGTGTTGATGTATTTGTATATATCTATAAGATTGAAGGAAACCAAACGCTAAATGCACTTCATTAAAACCGATTCAGGCCTAGCTCTAACAGAAAGACATGAAAGCTATCTCGAAGGCCTGAATTGCTAGCGCTATAACCGTCGGTAAGGAGCGTATCCAAGGAATGCGAACGGATCGATATGTGAATGAAGCAACAAAATCCCGAACTCTCCTGATGTCCCCGCCACCTCTTCATTTCTTTCTCACCGTTTTGTTGGTACTCATCCATTGACTTTCACTACTCTTCCTTCCCTTCCATATTTCCGCCTTCTGTTTTTGTTCCAGCAGTTTTTTTCGTATCTATAAATGGCATCCACAAACACATATAAACATATGTACACCCACACACATACACACATACACACACACATACATACATACAAGGATACAATGACACATACATTTATGACATAAGTATTACTCGTCTTTGTCACTGATATATTACTTCCTCTGTTTTGCTTTACAAATGATATCCTATTTTTTGCCCTTTTCATGTGCAACAGAGCATAATATTTTTGCAAGTTTTTCGATAATCAGACTGATTCAGCAAAATAGGAATGAAGTGATAATTTCCGATGAACTGATCGGATTCGATACTAGGATAGTAACAGGAAGAGATCATATTATGTCTCATACCATCTATTTCATATCCGATAAAAATCTTTAATCTATTTTTCGAACTTAATTAACAAATCAAAAAGTTCCATCTAATCCATTTTCCCCATCGATAGTTTTTGCCATTTTTGAATATATCTTATTCCTGACTAATAATGTATATAGCAATAATTGCACTTCCTAATCATTCGTCTGTTTATATGTTCACTTCCTGTTCATTCATATAAATGTTGAAAATTCTCTCTGAAATATTCTCATCATAACAAGATATTTTTAGTTGTTTTTTCCCACAATTATATTAAGCATTTATTGCCAGTATTGCTCTTCTTCGCTTCATTCATAAATCATTCTCTTTTTTCAGTCATTTCCGTTTTTCTGCAGGAAATGATATGATGGTAGTAGTGATTAATTGTGGTGAAGCTATTTAAATAAATCACTTATACTCAATTGACAATAGTCCATCTTTTCAAGCTTGTTATCAGTATGAATGTTGGTTAAATTTGTCAAATTCAATTTGATATTCCCATTAGCCTCATCCGACCATTCGAACATTTGATGAGGATAAATAATTAAAAGGTTGGTACTATGCTGATAACTGGCTTTTTACCAACTACAGATGGTCATTAATAAAAGAATCAGCTAATATTAAATGTATCTATAAATATGTCTTGATTAGATCGATCCATTTTGACCAAATCTACCGCAATTTCTTGATATAAAAACGATGAATGCAAAATTTTCTCTCACTGGTAGCATATATTCTGATCAACAATAAATTGCATGAAAATGAAGCAGGTTATGATGGAAGTGAAACGTTGCAAGGTATCATCATGAAATACGTGTTACAAGGTATCATCATGAAATACGTGTTACAAGGTATCATCATGGAATACGTGTTAAAAGGTATCATCACGGAATACGTGTTAAAAGGTATCATCACGGAATACGTGATGATACCTTGCAACATTCTGAGAATGATTTAATTACTATAAAATGAAGTATGCTTATATCAATTTTGCATAATTCTATCAGTTGTATTGATTGCAGGAATTGTAGCGATAATAATGACTTAATATTTTTTACTTCAAAATGACATATTTCTTTATTTCTTCTCTTCAAATGTTTGCAGTTTATACTCTCCCTAAGATTATATAATGTGCCTTATTCCTTTATATCCTATCTCATCCTAACATTCGAGAAAATAAAAATTTGATCTCACAGACAGAAAAGTATTTTTAAATTACATACAAATTTATTGAGCTCTATTAAATTTATGGATTAAAATGAGCATTTTAATTAGAAATGAAACTTTGTAGATTGCACTACTCAAATACTTAATTATTGCAATTGTTGAAATTTATTCAATTCTTCCGAAGGGAAAAAAATACTTCTGCCAATCCATTTGTATCACAAAATAAAAAAAAAAAANAAAA